ATTGATGGTACTTTAAGCTATCAGAATTCAGTTTTCAAATTCAATTATCAGTTTTCTTGAATCAAAAAATGCAGCAGACATATTTCATGCCATGATTACTTTCATATGTCTAGTGATAAAGTATTAACTTTAAATAATTTAATTGAAATTGTTGGCTTCAAATGAATTAACGATCATTCGCACATGGCTCGAGTTTGAATGTAATTGATGATATGGAATGATTTGTCCAGCTAGCATTGTGTGCCCGTGTTATTTTTCGGAACGGTTTTTAGATATGTTTGAATTTTAATTAGATATAATTGATCGTGGAGAAATTAATTAATATAATTAACTTTGATTATAATTGAATGTGTTATAATGTGATTATATTTGAATTTTTTTTAAATTGATTTTGATAGAATTGAAAATGTTTGAATGATTTGGTTAAAGTCAATTTTGATTGTTTAAGTTATCATAAAGGAAAGTTTGAAAAGCAAAATATTCATAAAGTTGTTGTTTAGGCTAAATTTAAAACGATGCCTATTCAAAATGACACAATGGTTATAGCAAAAAATGGGCCAAGTGAATGAAGTATTAGGCCAGGCAAGAGATTCAATAATAATAAGCGCGGTTCGCGTCATGATGAAATAATTTGATTAAGTCAGCTTAAGTCTTTGAATTTCTTGAGTCTTGAAACTATTATCAACACTGTTACTTCACATGACCCCACAATTTCAACAAGTTCTGAATCTCACAAAATCATAACTCTTGTCTACGGATATTACGTGAACACAAGCTGGCAATTACATGCTGTAAATAAGAAAAACATGCCACGCATGAGCTTAACTTAACCTTTAAGATTCATGATAGACGTACGAGATCATCAAGGGAATATGGGACATCATGCCACAAATCTCACAGCCCGAGTTATTAAATCCTTGATATTTCGCGAATGGACTCTGAATTTTGCGAGGACAGTTATCTCAACTGAATCACTATAGAAGCAAGAGAAGGTCGCATGAAGAATGGATTCCACCAAACAATCAATTATTGACATGCATTAATACTTTTAGCATTTTACTCTATATTTTCAGAAAGTTTTTAGCATCATTTTTAGTTTTGTAACTTTTACGACCTTGTATCCTGCACATTCTATTAATCAAATACTTGTCTTCTGACTTCTTTGCCTCTTTACATCCAAACAAACTATAATAAGGGAGCTCGAGAATCCTTTTGTTATATTTTGAGATTCAATATTTCTGACATGTCTGATACTTTTACTGTTCATGGGGAACGATTGTGTGTAGTATTATTACATTTGTTAAATTTTATTTAACAAGTAAAATATATTATTTAACTTATACTCTCTCTGTTCATCAATTTCCATCATGGTAGAGACATAGTACGTTATTGATCATCGGTCACTTTTATTAGTCAAGCTAGCAATAATACTATCAAAGAAACTAGAGAACTTTAAATCTCATGAGAAATTAGGAGGATGGCACACAAGTTATGAAGGAGCAATGTCACAGTAGTATAATTGAATTTGAGAAGCTCCTTTCCCCAACTTATACTGAGACGTGGTCAATAGCCAATTGATTGATTATGGGCAATGTGAATGTTTGGGTATTTTTCATCCAAACCATGGTTTTACCCAAAATAATTGATTATCTTTTGTATCCGAGCAGGCGCTTTCTCATATTTTTCTATCCAGTGTGTCCCTATGCGCGGGCAGGTTATCTAATTTTCAAATGAAGAATGTGACATTTGGCTACTTCGTAGTGCTGTCAAGTAGAGTTGATCCTTGAAGCATTGAGGCCTAAACAAGCTAGCCTTGTTAAGCTCAATTATATCTTGGGTCTTCATTTTAGTTCGCCTAAACTTGGCCTTCAAGGCCTCAATCCTATCTTTTTCCCATTTTTTAATTTAAAAATTTTAAAAAATATATCAAAAAGCACAAAAAAGTTATTACAGTTTGCACATAACATTAAGCTTAAAAAACCAAATTTAAATTAATACACACGGTGATAAATTTAAGTTTAATAAAAAACATCAACATCACAAAATTAACATCTATAATAACTAGACTTTGTTAGTATCATCAAGTAAATTTGATGATTTTTATTGTCACCAACATTAATATAATTTTATCATTCTCCTTATGGAGTTTCATTGGCAAATATACTAAAAATTTCATATATCATCTCTTCATTATCGTAAAATGAGGTTATAGTTTTAAAATTAGTGTGATATTTAATTTTTAATATTAAAATTTAAATAAAAAATCATAAAATAGTTTAAAATGGCCAACCCTTTTAAACCTTAATTATCATTTTGTACTCCAAAATAGCAACTTGACCTTAATTTTTTTTAATTCAGATCAAGCCAGATCAGGTTTAGGCTTGCCCGGATAACAAAATAAAATGTTTAAAATAAATATAAAATATAATAAATATTAATTAATTTGTAAGTTCTATGTCATTTTATATAAAATACTATATATTTGATTGCATTATTATAGCTATTTAAAAATTATTTATATTTTCATATTTTAATTGATTAAATATCTCAAAATAATATTTAAAATGTATTTTAATATTAATTTTTATATTTTAAGATCCTTTAAAAATTTTTTAAGTCATATGCATCATTTATGTATGCAAAAAAAATTATATTTTTATAAAATAAGATTATTAATTTTAAATTGAAATTAAAAATAATTTTAAAAATAAAATTCGAGCATGTATGAGTTTCTGAATCTACTACTAAATAAATATAATAAATAGAACAATGTTCTTGAATAATTATTTGGTTATCATTCATGTTAAAATTAGTTAAAAATTAAGAATAAGTTAGAGTAAAAAATCCTTTTATGTAAGGTTAAATAATATAAAAATTTAAAAAAATTATTTTACTCATAATTAAATTACTTCTTTATATAGTATAATGATAGCTATTTTTCTCAAATTTTTAAAAATGTAAAATACAATTTACTTAAAATGAATAAAAATTTTGAACTAATTAAAATAATAATTTTAAATTAGTAGTCTAACTAGATTAATTTAATCATAATTAAAATAATATAATTCAATTACAATATATAAACTATTTATATATGATAATGATAAGATCAATATTTAAACAACAAAAAGGTTAATTTATAAATGAAGGAATCATTTATGAATAAATTATATATAATATAATAATAGAGCTACTTTAATATAAATTTAATAATTTATTATTTTTTACTCTATTCTTTTAAATTTAAAATAATATTTTATACTTAATAGAATTATTTAAAAATTAAAATTGGTTCAAACTTCAAACAATAAAGAAAAATATTTTTAAAAACTTTTAAGTATTTAAGCCGACTTGAATAAGTCCGAAGCCTGAAGGTGTTAGGGTTGAATTTGACTATATGAGCTTTTTAAAAAGGATAAAATATTTTAAATCTGATCCAAATAAGCTCAATTTACCTGAATTATTGACTCTAACTAAAAATAAATTTGAATGATGGAAACAAGTATGAAATTGACAAAAGAAAAGGAATTAGAATTAAAAATATTTTTAGTATCACAAAAAATTTAAATGTAATTTTGATATTATTTATATTAGATTTTTATGGATTGAGAATTAAATAGAAAAATGAAGCCACAATATTAAAAACAATTTCTAGATTTTTATTATTAATTATCTTCTTGTCTAGATGTATTATCTTTTTTACTAAAAAAATTAAATATAAGCTCATATTATTATTTTAATGAATTATTTTTTGTAATTTTAATCAATGAATCTCATGAGATTAATAAATAATATATATTTAACATATTTTTATAAAAACTAATAAATAATCAATTTATAAACTATAATAAAATTTTATTTGCAATTTATAAGAAATACTGACACTATCTTTCAAATGTAAAGAACATATTTAAAAGTCACAAATTATAAATTAAAAAATATTGTTATTATTGTAAATTTATAAGTAAAAAATAAATTATTTTTTTAAAATAAACCAGCCTATTTTTAAAAATAGACTAATTCTTTTAACTCAATCTGCCACTCATCAAAATTGGGGGTTAAATGATTTAAACCGCTTGCTCGACTCATTTTTCCAGCTATATTGCCAAACCTTTGCAATCTCTGGACAGCCATTTTTCAGTATTTTTTTTCTTAAATACTGACGATCTTTTTAAACCCCAGAAAAGACAATGGCAATCTTGTTTGTTTTCCCAAATCTATGGCCCTTGTATTTTTCTGGTCACCATTTTTAGGGGCTTGACTATTGTGTGACAAAAGAGAGGGAGGGAGAGGAAATGTATCCCTTGGCTTCCTCCCCAAGTTTAAAATTCGTTCTGCTGAAAAAAATTCCACTTATAAATAACATAATTTGTTATTATAAATTTCATTTTATATATTGATTTTTGAAACATTAAATAAAAAAGGTAAAACTTATCTTTTAATATTGAAAATACATAACTTATCTTTTAAATTTTGTATAATTCACGATAAAGCATGTTTAATTATGCTAAAACTTGAAATTTCATTATGAAAATTATTGTATATCAACGCAGATGTTGTTTTTCAGGTCACCAATGTATAGCAAATTAGGGCACACAATATCCCACGTAAATCACATCATCAATCAATACTATCTGTTAAAAATATCTTATTTCAAGGCTTGTTTAAAAATATTTTTATTTTATTATTATGATTAGTATTTTATAAAATATGTTTTGAAAATTAAAAAAATAGATGCCTTGCCGTTTGCATTCTTTCTCAATCTCTAAAATAATAAGTTTAAAATATCTAAAACATGGTTCCGTTTTTTTTAATTTTATCTAATAATATATATATATATATATATATTTTTTTTCTTTTTTACTCTTCAAAAGATATTTTAAAAACATACCATTAAATAAATTTCTTCATTTTGTTTTGTTTTGTTTTGGGAAACAGACTGTTTTCCAGTTCTCAAACGAGCCCTTTAGCCTTTACTCGTTTCATGTAATTTCTCTGGGTAATATTACTGGTGGAACTTGACTCGTTCCTTCTTTAATATAAAGAATTTTCCAGACAGAAGGTTGTTGCTGAACGAAGACGAGTATCGCGGCACATTTTAGACGAACGCGGCACGCCGATAGACACAGATACGAAGGGAAAGGCAGGACCCCCAATCCTGACCGGATTATCCCTCGATTTTCATATGCCTAAACCCAGGGTTGAGGTTGAAGTTTACATTCAGTCTGAAAGCACGTAAGCCTTTCTTTTCCTGCTTTCGAAATTCAACATGACGTGGCATGAGTGGGACAACAATATCCCTGAAGGTGACCAACCCGACAAAGATTCCTATCTCAACTTCGATTTCTTCTCTGCTCTGTCCAAGCCCAAGGTAAATCTGGAACATTTCAAGCTCCGACCCCCGTTTTTGTAATTTTGAAAGGTCATGCGTTTTGAAAATTGATTTCGTGTTAAGGATTGCTTTCCTTTAGTTTTAGTTGGCTGATGCGTGTTTCTGATGCTACTGTCCTGAAATTGTGAGTTGTATTTCACAGGATTATTATAAGATTCTGGAGGTGGATTATGATTCTACGGACGACGCTATTCGTTCTAATTACATCCGTCTAGCTCTGGTGTGTTAGCTGGTCCAGCAATTTCTAACCTCTATCGTTTTATTTGTTGGATTTCGTGCTGAGTGCTGGTTTTCACCGAGGAGCTGAGGGCTAACATTTCTCTGCTTCTGTGGACACAGAAATGGCATCCGGACAAGCAGAAAGACCAAGATGCCGCAACCTCACGATTCCAAGAGATAAACGAGGCTTATCAGGGTCAGCAAACCAAACCTCCCCCCCCCCCCCCCCCCAAAAAAAAAAAATCCCTTTCTATTAATGATATGGGTAACTAGCTACTTATGCCCTAAAATTTTAGGGTTATTCGCACATATGGCCCTGCTCCTATCTAACTTGGGCAGCTGGTGATGTCTCAATGTTACTCATGATTCATGAATTACGATGATTGGATAGCGACTGGTGGATGTAAATGAAAAATTGATTAGCTTCTTAAGTGGAATCTGAAATAGGCCTATAAACTTGGTGATATGTCTCAAATCTTCAACATAAATGCTTTTCTTACTTGGACAATGAACTTGTTGGAGTTATTGCTCCCCCTGTCAATAGACTGTCTTCACGAAAGCTTGGGACCAAAAGTCTAATCAGTTTGATTCTATTCATTATATACCCTTTCACATGTTCTTGACATGGCTGCCTTCTTTTCCTTTTTGTTAGGTTTAGTTCATTATCATACTCAAAGAGTTTGATTAATAATTAATAATCAATAAATCCTCTTATTTCTGGATGTTTATTACTGTAAGGTCTTTGGCTGAACAATGATGCCAAATTAGCTCTCCTTAATTTCAGTTGGAGAGGAGGATTCCCCCGGGCACCACCCCAACCTAAACATTTTCCTTTATTTTTTCTGTGCTGGTCATAACCTTGTGTGTGTGCACGTGCACGCGCCTGTGAGAACTAGTTTGAATCTACTTAATGCAGTTCTGCATTCCACTTTACTACCTCATTATTAGCTTGTCAAGATTATTGACATTTATGTTATAACAAACAATGGTACTGTGGTAATTGTTATGCGATTCTAGTGATTCTTGAAGCCATTGTTGGACGTAGGAGGGGGGTGAGGGAGCGAGAATTTATACATGATGAGTGGAAATTATTTCCATTTTGAAAGAGCTAGCGTGCTAGGAAACAGGATCTTTACCTTTTTCTAGATTCATCATTGGCTGAAATACACATTCCCTTCGGATTTGATCAGTACTAAATCACTTAAAGACTGATGGGCATATGATCAATGAGGAAGGCGAGTCTATGTGAAGGCTTCAAGAATATAAAATGTGGTTGATGCAGCCAGTCGTGAAAGGATTAGATTAGCTGTTCAATAAATATGGCTAAGTATTTTGAAATTATACTGAAGATTTTAACGATTTTCTACCTTTTCTTTCTCTTGCTTCTGCCTGTTAAGGTGGACAAAACTGTGAAGCAAGAACATGAGCTTATCTCAAATGATAAGAATAACATATCTTTTGCTTTACTGAACAGTCTTGAGTGATCCTGCCAAAAGGAGAGAGTATGACAAAAACGGGATGTTTTATGTCTACGATTGCAATCTCATGGTAAGGGCTTCCATCGTTATCTGTCATGAACTATGATTGTAGAAAATGGATTAGTTACCAAAAGAAAATATTTTAGAATGATTTTTTTCTTTATTATTTGCTGCAGGATTATCTTAATCGTTACAAGAGCCTTATATTGACGTGTAATGGCCTTGGGATGAAGCAATTCATCTGGTAAGCCAAATTAACAGCATGGAAATCCTCCCAATGCATCTGGGACAATTTTTTTGGGTACCTGTCTCTGCATGCCATGCTCGGGAATGAAGGAGACATGCTTTTGATGTACTAGGAGGGCTTATTTCATGCTTCTGTATAAAAAAAGTAGATACGAATTGGTTGCCACAACATTTAAGGGTCACTTTACCTGCTGTCAAATGGATGTGTTTCTTTCTTGTGGCTTAGTTTGTTAATGGATATCTGAATTCACTCTGCTTTTCTGCCATTAAACCAGTTAAACCCTAACAATCACGGGATGGCATTTTCAATTAATGAGAACAGTCGGCAGTTGCCTAGAAAGATGAACTCGGAATATGGGCAAGACAAGCTGTTCTCCTGATTCATGCATATGTTCACTGGTTTATATACAACACTTGCTCGGAATTTTAACTTAATGGTTCCTGCAAAAACACGCCCAGAATTTTAATTTTATAGCATTTCACACACACACACACACACACAATATATATATACGTGCATGCTGTCGAATTGCTCTATCATAATATAGGGGTCTTGTAATTTTTGATTGCATGGTAATAAGTTCGTAATCTCAAAGTGGGGGGTGAATTCGGAATTCATCACATGGGTCATGGGGGCCATGTTTAAAATTTCATTTCAATGTTGGGGGTTATAACTAAAATTTTATACAAATATGGGGTGCTACCAGTAATTTTTACATTTTTTCATAGATAATTTTACCTATTTAAAACAAAAATTTTGAAGTTGTCACTGATCTCAACACGAATGTATCATCATTCCACGAAACTAAATCTTTCAAATAGGAGTGTTCAGTCTGGACCTATCCCGACTGGCCTGGTATCGTTTCAATCATATCGGGATGAGTCTTGTTTCAGCCCGAAAATAATCAGAACAGGACTTTATGGGACAGGACAGGAAAGGGGTTCGTGACGGGACGGGACACGGGGTTACTATCGGGACGTCCCGTCCCGTCCCGTCTCGAATATTATGTATATTATTTTTTATTTTAAGTATATTAATTATATTAATATAATTTATACTTATATTAATTATATCAATTATAATTTTAATACTTGCAATTCTTATTCAAAACTAAAGTTTTTTTATATTGATAATTTTAATGGCATGGAGTAAACATGACGATATCTTTCTTTATAATATATTAATTATATTAATATGATTTATTTTTATATCTATCTATTTAATAACTTTTATTTATAACATATTTCTTGCTTATTTTTAGAAGAGTAATTAGCTTAGTACATCTTCATTAAAGTAGAAGAACAATGATTTGATGTTGTGTTTGACTTGTCTGTTGTTGCTAATCTTATAGCATAAAGATCACTTATATTTATTATTATAATATGTAGTTGTGATTAATATAATTCAATAACTAATTTTAAATTATTGTTATTTATGTGCTTGTGTTGTTTTGATTTTAAACTTAATAAATTATATGATTTAAAATTTTAATGAACGTTATTACCCAGATCTTTTTTTGATATTATTTCATTTATCGGGACGACGAGACTTCCCGATCTTGTCCCGGTCCCGTCCTGACTCTTAATGGGACGGGGACAGGACACGAGACTAAAATTCAGTCCCAATTTTTTTTTTGGGACGGGACACGAGACGGGAGTGTCTCGGTTTCATCCCATCCCATGAACACCCCTATTTTCAAACATCTTTGATGCATTGGCGTAATTTTAAAATTTCCATGTTTCATGATAATTGTGGACTTTTGGCCAATGTCATTAAAACTTTGTTCCTTTCACTATCCCCATGTCTCTTCAACGAATTTTCCCAAGACAATCCATGTAACCTTATTCTTGCCTTCTCAGCCTTCATTTTGGCCCTGAAGATCATGCACATTTTTCTATGTTGCAGACATCAGTTGATACCCTGAATTCTTATAGTTTTTATAAGATTGGATCACATTTGTCGCTTAGGTTTTTGTAATTTATAATTTAATAAAATTATATAAATTAATAATTATATTTTATCATATTTTATAATGAAATTAATAATAAAATTTATTAAATATACTTTATAATATTAATTTTTTTAAAACATAAATATAAATTTCTATAAATATCTTTTATTTAATACAATATTATTTCTGAAACAAATAGAGAGAGAAAATATAATGAGAAAAATGTAACATTGAAATAAGCATAATTAATAAAATTTTATTTTTAATTAAAATATTTTATATTTTGAGACATATAGTCATGTACAAAATATCTTATGAATTGATATCAAAGGATTACTTTAGTGGAAAAATTGTTAGAAAATTCCTTTTTTAGAAGGGAAATTACTCTCAAGAATCAAGCCAAATTGAAAGACTAAAGAGAATATAATTCATAAAACAATTTAAGCAATTAACCAAAATGCCTCTTTGTGAGATTTCATCTAACAATCTAAGCAATTCAGACGGGACGATTTTCAATGTAAGAAGCGAGTTGCGACTTGGACCCTTTGTCTCTTAGCATGCGAGTGTGCGTGACCATGATTGTGCTGTGCGACCATGCATTCGCAATTGTGGAGGGTGATTTTCGATGAGAGAGAAGTGATTTTTGACAATGTGAGAGGCAATTTTCGGTGAAGATTTCCTCTCTTTTTCTGCAAGATTTGCTTCCTACACTATCTCTTGTTTGTCCAGGAGCCAAATATATATCCCTAAGCTGGAACTTTGTAGCCGATCTAAGTTTGAAAGAGCTGTCAAGGAGCCTCCATTGATTCATAAATTTGAAATAGACCTTGCAGTATTTTTTTTTAAAGTTCTACTTGTTACAGGTTCACATCCTTTGTTTTGTCTTTTGATTTTGAGCTAGGAAGATCAGAGCCTTTGCAGTTTTCTTTATCGGACCCATGCCTTCACCACCCCCCATCAGCAAAACAGCAAGCAAGTTTGGGTCCAACTCAAGTTCTTCTCTTAATTGATCCTATAAGAAAGTTTTAAAACAGAACTCATTCTATCATCCACACCAAAACCACCCAAAGAAATGTTAGAGATTATTATAAAACGATTCATAAGCCTTCACCTAGCGGTCTGTGAGTTTCTTTAATGATTTACGTTGGTTCTTAGACGGGTATACACTTGGTTAGAAGGAAAATTTTGAAATTTAGAATCTGGCATTGGACACGGTGCGTTCTTTTTCATAGTTTAAAGGGCTGAAGAGGTTTCTTTGTGGTTTCCTTCCCCAAATCAGTCAGTGTGCATTCAGCTCTTAAAAGTTCTGTTCCACAAGATATATCACGTTTAATAAGTTGCACTCTTTATAAGTTATTAATAGTGTTAGCCCATTCGTAAGACTCATACATACACGATTTATTTTAAATTTTTGCCAAAGGATTTGTGCCATCTTAAGTTCTTCATCATTCTGGGGATTACGAGAGTGTAAATCCATTTCAATCCATCTACAAATCTTGAGAACGGGAAGTTAGGAACGACAAATTCATGCCGCCTTCTTTTACAACCTGTCCTTCTCTCATTAATTTTCAAGTTTCATTTGAAAACTTAGTAGTACTCAGATTCATAGTTCAATATAGCTTCCATACTGAATTTATAGCATTTAGTGTCTTCTGGGTCTTATTAGGTGTGGAATTAAAAGTCAATAAATACACGTGAACAGTTTGGCATGGGGAATATGGTATACAATCACATTTTGTTCGTATTTGGGCCCTGCTTTACCTTTATTTTTTTTATTCCACTTATCTAATATTATCACGCTATTGTACCATACAAAGTCAATGAATAATTACTTTCACTATAGATTTTTCAGAGTCTTAGTAATTCACTGTTTGTTGTTATTTCCTACTTTTGTTATCCCTCAAGTCTATTTTTGCATATTTTTCAGATATTGATAAGTCGTTCAAGCAGCTTACTCCGTGAGGCTAAAACAGAGAAATATAAAGATTTGCGTGCCCTTCTTCAACTCCTCACAAGTCTATGTTCCAAAGACATGGTCAAATTTTCTTATATAAGCTTTAGATAAAACCCCCCCCCCCAAAAAAAAAAAAAAAACTCCAAGCTCAGAGAACTTGTTACTAATTTAAGCATTTATTTCCTTAATAAATTTCTTAAATTTTAAAAAAGGCAAAAGAATTGAATAATTTCACCAGAATTGTGCCATGTTGCTTTTTCATTCAAAGTAATTTATTCGAGCATCGTAAATTCTACTTGCCCTTTTAATATGTAGTTAATATTGTATCCTTGCCAATTTTTCAGGATGGAGATGTGGTTAGCAAGTGCCTTAGAGCTCTCCAAGGTCTTGCGTCATACCACTACAAGGAGACTATTGCTGGTAGAATAGGTTCGGTGAACATGCCACTGGTCTAAAGGATCAAAACGGAACTTGCAGGAAGGCCTGCTGAAGCTTGTTCTTTCGTTCATTGCTTCAGTTGCTTCTTTTTGAAGATTACAGGTGAAAAAATATGCCATGGTTATTTGTTTGTGAATAAGTCATCTTTTGCAATGATTTTTCTGTGTTTCATGGCTGTTCGTCTAGCAAGACATGTTTCACAAGAACGGCACTCTGTATAAAAAGCCATGTCCTGTTTTAATGTCTTGGAGGTTATTCAATTGAGAAGTCCAAAAGCTTGTCACTGAATAATAATTAAGGATAGTAATTCTAGTACTTGATTTCTCTTGGTGCCTTATTCAGGTTACTTATAACCTGAGTGAATTCTTTCTTCTTTCTTGACGTTGTTAAAATCTTTTGATAAAAAGAGGTCCCAGAAGCAAGCATTGAGGGTTGATTCTTGAGACAGGTGATGTGAAATCCTTAATGGGATGCTTACAAGGCATTGCCAACATGCACAAGCTAAAGAAAAGTGGTATGTCTGTGGCAAAACTGGTTGATGATAATTCACTGATTATTATAAAGAGAGTGAGTTTTGGTTTGAATGTTTACTTATTGTATTGCCCATGACTTTTAAGTGTTATAGTGGATGTAGAAGATGAGGGACCTTTGATGTGATTGGTAATTGGACATGTTATGAATGATAAATAAATTTATATTAGATCATGTATGTAGGCGAAAAACAAAACAAGATGCTATACTTGAATTGTAGTTTCAGTTCTTATATCATAAACTGTGTTATTCTTTTATCTTCACTCAAATATGTTTGGAACACTTTTATTGAGCTTCATCTTCCTTTATGTATCCTATTTTCTAGTCTTAGGCTTTAGGTGTAAGATATAAAGTGATAGGCTTCATGTCTAAGCTTATAAACTTGGGATGCAAGGGTGTAGGTTTAGGGTACAAAGTACAAGGGTATAGATTTTGATTGCAAGGGTATATATTTTGTGTGCAAACTTATAGGCTTAGAATGCAAAAATATAGGCACGGAGTATAAGGTACAAGGCAATGATAGGCTTGAAATGCAAGGGTAAGGCTTAGGATATAAGGGTATAAGTATTGACATTTATGTTATTTCTAGTTGTCGAGTTTTTATATAATATTTGATAATTAAATGAAATCAAGGGGTACTAACCTTTTTTGATGGTCCTTCATCAGCTCCAGCTTGAGCTTTGGCAGCTGGATTTTATGCATTTTTTTAAAAAAATTTAATTAGCATAGAAGGGCATTTTAGTTAATTGCATAGATTGTCTTAGAAACATTATATTCAATTTCATTTTTCAATTTGCCTTGTTCCTTGGAAGCAATTTTCTTTTCAAAAAAAATATTTTCTAGCTATTTTCCCAACTTTGTTTCCATGACAAGTTGAATGTTTGACTTAAATTGAGTATGTTTTCTCGAAAATCTTAAAAAAAATATACCGTATGGATATGTGAATTAACATGGTTTGTCAAGAATTTTATACTTTCTCAATTTTAAATTATAAGATATTTTTAAAAAAAAATTCATTATCTTAAAATATAAAAAAATTTAATAAAAATAAAGTTTCATTAATTATACATTTTTAATATTACTCTTTTTTTATATTCTCTCTTTTTAATATTTTTTTATTAATGAAATATTAAATAAAAAATATTTTAAAAAATTTATATTTTTATTTTAAAAAAAAGGCTGTAATGTGTATTTAATAAATTTTATTAATATTTAAAATTTTATTTTAAAATGTTTTATAATTTAAAATAAAAAAAATATTTTATACTGTTGATTTAATAGAACAATTTATTATAGATGACAAGATAAGACGGGCATCAAGAGAAGCTTTGGGAAACTCACGCTCTGCCAAGTGCCAACTAACAAGGTCACGTAAAAATTAAAATTGCCTGTAGATTGTGGACTGATTCTCTGGACATCACTTGGATACCGTCAGATCAACATTAACGTTGCAAATATCAATAATTAAATGCTGTTTGACAAGTCAAAACTTGATAAACGCATTTAGATCAAAAGTCCTTAATTACAAGCCTGGAGAATAACCTTAAGACGGGTGGAGTGGTAACAGAAAATCAGATCAAATTGGATTTAGTGTCGCTTGGATTTCAGTCGGTTATAATAAATTATAAAAATAATTAATTAAATAATTAATTTTAATTATAATTCATTATATTATAACACAATTTATTTGGATACTATTATTTTAAAATTAATTTTAATAGAATTAAAAATATTTAAATAATTTATTCAAAATTAATTTTAGTTGTATAAATTATCATAAAGGAAATTATTTTAAAAAATTAAATTATTGATAAATCTATATCAGATTAATTATAAAAATTTAAGTTATATTAATATTAACAATTTTAATTTATAAAAATAAATAACTTAATATATCTTAATTCAAATAAATTTAATAAAAAAATTTAATTCTTAAATACTAAATATCAACTTTACAATAACTAATGAAAATAATAATATATAAGTTAATTTTTAATGACATCACAAATATGAATCATATTTAACAAAAATGTTAAACACTATCTAAAAATTTTAACAACATAAAAAATGTAGTGATGTGACAGATGATGTAAAATCTCTCTTTCTCATTGTGGACCTTTACAATAATTTCTGAAATGACTCTAAATTTTTAAATTAAATTAAATTAATTTTCTTCTACCAATTAATATTTCATTTAAATTAGTTTTATAATAAATGTTAAGTAGAGGATGGTGATTGATAGAAACTTATGCTAATAATTTTATTGAGGATTCAAAGTTTGAATTTTATTAGAAAAAAAATAAAAGAGACAAGAGTTTAGTTTTTTTTTTATTAAATTTTGTATCTTTCTTTTAATTTTTTTCTTAGGTCTTTCTTGTAATTTTTCCACATGATTTTTGTAAAATTCGAACGCAGAAGCTGATTCTCATGGCTTATGGAAAAAATTGATTTTTTCCACAAAATCGATTCCCCAACTGAGCGGCTGTTTGGGTAATTTTTTTAAATAATCGATTTTTAGCCCCAAAAATTGGACGTAGAGTGAAAACAAAAGGGAAAATGACATATGAGCCCCATGGGGACAAATTAATTTAAAGTTAGTTTATAGTTTAAAATTTTAAAAATTTACAAGTTCAATTTTCAATATTATAATTTAGTTGTGATTAATTTATAACTTATTTTTTAAATTTTAACATAGATGAAGAATAGATAAATTTATTTTTTCTATTAATATTTGGAACATAAGTTGTAAATTTATCATAATAAAATTTTAAAAATGACAGCCTAATTTGTAAATTTTTAAAGCTTGACATTTTGAAACTAACTTTGAATTAATTGTTTACTTTAAGACCTACATATCTATCATTCTTCCAAAACAAAATCAAATTACATAATCAGGACAGAAAAATTTAAAGCTGATACCAGGCATGATTCACTCGTCCATCAGCAAACTAATTTACTATTTTCATTAAAAAATATTTTTAATTAAATATCATTTCAACAAATTAGTTAAATGTCATCAAACTTATACTATATTTATATATTTATTATCACTTAATAAGATATTTTATTTAAAAATAAATATAAAATACTTTATTTATTAAGGGTATTTAAAAATAGTATTAGCTACGCTTTGAAATACTAAAATTTTTTTACATTTGTTAACATTCAACTTATCAAAAATATCTTATATTTTTTAATGGAAGGGATAGATTCTTTAATAAATGCAAATATTTTATTTGGAAATAACCAAAAACAGGATAAAAAGTATAATTATGGATTGTTAATTTCATATACGATTAGATTCTTTTATTGTTTTTTCAATGATGTGTTGAGGGAGGTGATCAAGTTTAATCAAAAAGTGTACTGACAATCAAACTAATTAAGGGTACCCGTAATCAAAGATTAAAATAAAAGTGGCAAAAAAAAAACCAAATATTCAGATTAAAAAAATGGCCTCGATTTATGAGGAGAAATTGACATATTTCACAAGTACTAGTGAATTCTTTTATGCCAACTTTGGATTCAAAGTTACCTCAATTTTATCGCGATTCACACACTTTTCAAGTTAAATAAACGCCAGCAAAACAACTATAACATAAACAATAGTAAGTAATAACCATCACAAATGGCAATATAACGAGTTTCTTGTAATTTTCTGTATGAATAATTATTTTTGAAAAGTCATGAATTTCAAGTTCAAGCATAATTGTCGAGTTAGTTTTTAACTTTTTACGTATCAATTTAATAGACTGTTATTGACACTGAAGTGAATGCTGGTTCGATTAGTCTCAGTCTTGATACGCATTAAAAACAAAATAATACGTTATTGTAAAAATAATAATTGACAAATAGACGAGACAACAATTGGATAAAAAAAAAACTTAACTAAACAGACCCGATAAATATAGTCCAATTCATTTGGTCAAAACTTAAAACAGTTTTTTGTCCCAAAAAAAAAAACTTCAAACTGCTTGGATGGGACTAAGACCGAAGTGAAAAAAAAAAAAAAAGGAAGAAGAAGAAAAAGAAAAAAGAAAAAAAAAAGAAAGGGCAGGACCAATTTGGTATATATTTTTTGTGAAATGTTGAATTACTCATTTAGCGAACACGTCACGTCACTCATGCACATTTGCCTCTTCACTAAATTGTATATAATAAGAAAATAGAAGGACTTGACTTGCCTCATTGATCACCACAGGTTTCAGGCTTCTGCCTTTTAACGAATGTCATTACAACATAATCTTAACTAACAGAGGAGGTTAACTTAGTTTGAGATCTCCTAACCAATTCAGTTCAGTTCAGTTGGATCAATTTATATATTTTAATTGTAAACGAAATTGAATCTTCAACACCAATCGGTCGCACACTCTTGAATCTTGATTATTATTTATATAATTATAATGTCGTTGGTTCCATCGAACCTGTGAACTTGTGAATCAACCATCTTTGGACTTTAAAAGGAAGAAGAGAGAGGCTATCGAATAAAGAAGACAGTGGTTCTCACCAGGCGAAATCATTCCTTCGGCCAAATCACGCCTTCAAAGATTCTCACTCCACTCTCTCTGTAGACCATATACAGCTCTCTGCACCCCGATTTGCATCCTCTCTCTCCCTCTCGAACGGGCGGGAAAATGGCGTTTGCGCCGGAAAACTTAACCAGAGGTCAATATGTGTCCTTGGCTAAGTGGGCCGAGCAGGCCGACAGATTTGAGGAGATGATCACGTTCATACGGAAGGCTGTCCTGAGTTCAACTCCTTCCTCCGAGCTCACCGACGTGGAGCGGAATCTCGTCTCTGTCGCCTACAAGAATCTCACTGGCTCCCTCCGAAGCTCCTGGCGGGCCCTCTACACCATCGAACAGAAGGAGGAGGCTCGCAAGAACGACGACCTTGTTCCTCTTGTCAAGAGTTTTAGATCCAAGGTCGAGTCCGAGCTGTCCAACGTGGGTGACAGTATCTTGGAGCTGTTGGATTCCAACCTGATTCCCTCCGCTACTACTAGTGAGTCGAAGGTCTTCTATTTGAAAATGAAAGGAGATTATAATAGGTATATGGCCGAGTTCAGGCTTGGGGAGGAAGGGAAGGCTGCTGCTGACGCTACTATGTCAGCTTACAAGGCTGCGCAGGTAATCATTCTCTCTAGTTACCTCTGGAGATGCTACTTTCAGTTTGGAACAAACCGACGTTAAAAGCATTATTATTGCGTCACTTCATAAATTTGGTTCATTAAGTGGTTGGGCGTTGATCGAGCAAAGCCATCCGAAGCCTGAAGATTCGGATTCCAGAGCTTCTTTGTTGCTGCTTTACTTTTTGTTTTTAACTAACTGGGACTTTATGTTACTGTCACAATTAATGTAATTGGGCCCACATGATATTTCTGTTGCTTAGTCTATTATAGTTCTGATTATTTAAGTAGATGGATTTTTAACTGAAGGCGGAGTAGATATTTTAATTCCCAACTTTGAAAATAAATGGAGACTGGGATTTTGTAGTTAGCACCTCTAGTTCCTTTATATCTAGCAGGGAACCCCTGTGTTCCAACTTTGGCCTTGCTGATAATTTGTACCTCCCAGGAGATTGCTAATGCGGATCTACCTACCATTCATCCCGTAAGGTTGGCTCTGGCACTCAACTTCTCGGTATTCCACTACGAAATTCTCCGTCAATATCGGAAAGCATATAAGATGGCTAACCAGGTATATATGCTTCATCTTCAGTCTGATATCATGGTATTTTTTTACTTTTAAATGGAATTTTCCTCATGAAACACGTCCATACTCCTTGAGTCTGTCCGTCTTATGTGGATCAGGGTGTAAAGACAGTAGATTCCTTTTGTTGACTTGCTTTGGCAGTTTGTTTCCTTAATAACGTTGTGTTCTGTTAAAACTACGCTACATTAAATGCAATCTTCTATTCCTGCTAAGAATTCTGCCCACGAAGCCTGTTGACCGTTCTTTGAATTCCAGTTAGGTGCAAGTTAGTTCATTGGAACGGCTATTTTGTCATAATTTTTTTTTTAATCTATAAATCAGATAGGGAAGATTATTCCACTTTCCACAGAGGGGGAAAACGTGGTGTTAATGTGTAGAATGCAATTATGCTAAATTTAAACCTATAATTGTGACATTAGTCCCCACTTCCTTAGGTTCCATCCTTCTCTCTTTTTTTAGGTAAACGAATCTATCCTTCTCTTTATTTCCCTTTTATGCTTTGCTTCTGAGGACATAAACATAAAATCAGGAATAGACGCTTAATTCGACAATCTACTAAGCTCTTGCTGGTTTTCATTTTTGAAAGGCTTTTGAAGAAGCAATGAGTGAACTGGATACTCTGGGAGAAGAGAACTATAAAGACAGCACAATTATCATGCAACTTTTGAGAGACAACCTTAACCTCTGGACTACTGATCCTCAGGTAACTAACTATAGAACTCACCCCACTTCTTCCCTTCCCGTCCTTTTCACGTTGACAAGGCTTGGATTTTTTTGTCCTTATCAAGCAGTTTGATTAACTAACTGTATTCGGCATCGTGCAGGAACCGGACGAGCACTGACATCCATTGTAGGGAATGGCGGGTCCGATTCTTCATCTGTAGGAGGTGGGCTCTGATTGTCATTTCTCGGTGCTTGATTAGGAACTTCCCTTGCATGTGACAAGCAATATGATGTTTTTCTTTCTGTTCAGATTTCAGACAATATAATACTTGTGCTTCATTTCTAAAATCATTTGAGGAGGGCAGTGTGCAGCGGGGGGGCCCTTTAAGTGTAATTTGATGCAGTCTTATTTTTCCCTCGACATTTTATGATCCAAATTTAGAGTACGACATCAAAGACAAATTCTCGTGAAAAAGAAATTAAGCAAAAGGCCATGTTAACTAATCCTCTCACCGAGTGAGATTGTTTTCCGCAATAAAACTTAGAAGTACAGAAAATCCCCTCTAGTTATGAAGAATTTGAGATGGTCGCAGACACTTCTATAATTTTTATTATGTTAATAATAATGGCGTGATAATGTGTTTGGTACGTTGGGTAGTTGCCGCCGTCGCATGCAAATGCGGTATTCGAATGACCTAGTGCGGCCAGGCAGCACAAATGCATGTTGACAAGGAAGATCTAATAAGATGAAAGTGTGAAGCACCAGGCTTCATTTTTTTTTTTTTTTTTTTTGGGTGGGTGGATGGGGGGTGTGAACGCGATCAACTTGACTTGGGAATTGGGATGCGTGCAACCAACTTGACTTGGGAATTGGGATGCCATTTCAGGCGGAGCATGGTGCTTAATAAAAGCAGATGAATCGACAAAAACATACCTGACGTGAAATCACGAAATGTCTACTCATAATAAAACATTCAGTCTAGAGACTAGTAACAACCAGCAGTATTCCGTATAGTACATCGATCCCACCTTATCATAAATTGACAGTGCTCAATTCTCATCACAAAGTTGAACGGACGACATGCGAACCTTTATTTCTTTCTTCTTCTTCTTTTGGTGAAACATGCTAGCTTATTTTTGCAGACAAGGGTGGCTCCTGTGATCAAATCGACAAACCTATGGCTAAATTTGGCAGTCACTCCCTTGTACTGTCTTTAATCCATTCTAGGTATTTAAGATTGCCCCCGGTGATGGGTAGAGAGATCACTTCTGGCACTCTGAGGAAGAGACAAAAGACAAAAAAAAAAAAAAATCAGTACCAATTCAAAGCATTACTGTTTTACTATCAAGTTAATTTCAACGTGGATTTTATGCCAGTTTACTAACACACAAGAATATCGACCTGTTTTACATTTAGTTCCACTCTATTCGAGAGCTCTTCAAGTTTTCTTTCAGGATTTAGATACAATGTCCCAATCAAACTTTACAACCTAAATTTGAAATTTTGATGAATGGTAATTGATCAGAAGCGTCGGCCTTACTCATATTCGTGGTTTGCTTTGACATGCTCCGTCAGTGCTTCCAAAAGAGACTCCCTGGTCTTGATTATAAGAAGTTCCTCCGAATCAGCTTGGATCTGTCAATTTGCAACACACAGCTGACATTGACAAGCCACACCACACTTTCAATTAAATTTTGCATTCTTTTCACCACTTGCCAATAAGGACGGTAATGAACGCAAGAAAATTGGAATACGTAATGATAGATAGAAAGTTCCTCCTGGGGAGCTTTAGACACGCCAGCATTCTCAAGTCAATACGGAAAATGAAGTTCTTAATCATACCTCTCCTTTCCATTCATACACTGATTCGACACCTGCATTAGACATAATTCACATGGGTTATAAAATTCAGATTGGAACATGTAATATTGATATTTAGCTGACTAATGCCGAGTTTCCAACTCAAACATCTCCTCGAAACTAACTAACACAGCAGAGGTTATTACAAATCTCATGAAGAAAGCTCATTCCATACCCGGAACCCTATTTACACAAGCTGCAAGTCTCTCTCTCACGATGCTTTCGGCCAGCTTCTTGCCTGCAGAGTCATGTGAGTATATCAAAACTTGGAGCGTAGAAAGCCATAAAAAATACAAATCCATTAGTATCTGCCATGCACATATTAGACAAGAACGGCAGGGTATTATATTTATGATTACGATAAATAACATGATTTCCCTGTGTTTTTAATATCTTCAACCCTTAATACTACGTCAGCCCAATTCTTGATGGACCAGCAGCCAAATGACATGTAACACACAATCTCAACGAATCAATTGTGCAAACCGGAATGATCCATTTCTCTCCTGCAATAGCCCCAACAAGGAAAACAAAGACAATGCTCGAACCTGCGTCTTTGCTGGGAACAGTGACATAGACAACAATGCTGGGAACAGTAGCGGTTTTTTCTTCCATCGCCTTGGTACCAACGCTAGTGGCAGCGGAGTGCCCACGGAACCTTAATCTGAAAAGGAAGGAAACAGTCGCGCCGAGAATCAAAACAAAGGAATGATAAAATAACCAGAAACAAGCTAGGTAATTGGGATCTCTGAGAACAAGAAGAATTAGGTGGGGAAACGGAGAGAATGGATGAAAAAGAGGGATAGCGTCGTACTGTAAGAAAGGGAAAATGGGGAGAGATTGAGCACACCCCGTTTTGGAGGCGGAGGAATGCAGAGGGGAAGAGATGCCGAAGCTGAAGATGCAGAACGCGCCAAGCAGAGGAAGACGGCGATGCCGACGCAGCGAAGATGCGAAGACGAAGGAAGCTCTGGTGGGAGTAGCGAGGGTGGAATAAAAGAGCGTGGAAGCCATTTTGGGAATTGAGAATAGCGTCAGAGATATACCCTCGTCGCTCGTCGGCTTCCCTTGCGTGATCCCCTCCTCTTCCTTTACTTTAGGATGAAGTATAAATTTACTTCTTTTAACTTTATCCAAAATTTTATTTTAACTTCCTCATTTTATAAAATATATATTTAATTTTTCAATCATAACACAATTAATTTCATTATAAAAATGCTATATTAAATTTTTAAATATTAATGAAATATTATCAAATATTAATATATTAAAATTAATTTTTTTAATAGTAATATTGGCATAAAATATAATTTATAAATTTAAATAATTAAATTAAAATTTTGTATAAAGTTAAAAAGATTAATTTCCAAACTTGCATGTTCAGCTCATGGACGTGCCACCTGTGTTACCCTTCACTCTTTAGTGTTGTGTTGAAAAGTGAAAACTTTTTCAATTTTTCTGTGATTGTTCAAACTTTTGTTAATTATCTTTCATACAGGGGGCTCGGAGAGGCAATTGCTGCTGATGCGTTTAATTTAATTTTGATGATTATGGTATCTGAATGAAAATGAGGGTTCGGGTCATTGTGTGAACAATTACATTTGTCTTTTTTTTAACACAATTAATTAATTTTTTAAATTATAGGTTCGGAGGCATTTAAATCCTCAAACTCATTTTTAGTTGAGTATTTTCCTCAACTTTTAAAAATGTACAATGTTGTCTTTATTGTTGACAAAATTAATTTTGATGGTTAGTTAACAACAAAATCTTAAAAATTACCAAAAAATGATAGGAAATTATAGAAAATTACTCAAAAATTACATACAATAACCCAAAATTACATAAAAGGACTAAAACTTCATTTGTCATTTTTTGTAATTTTTATAAGGACTAAAACTTCATTTGTCATTTTTTGTAATTTTTATATCTTTTTGTATCATTTACTTGTTAATTAATTGTTGAGGTTAACTTTTATTAATGACAGAGGTCATATTACAATGTTTTCAAAATTTAAAAGAAAATATTACAATAAGAATAAGTTTAAGATTTCAGATACTCCTAAATTTATAATTTTGGAGTCACTTTGCCATTCCATCTTTTATAAAAAAAAATTATTGTTCATCTAACACAAAGGTTTCTTAGCCAACAAGTGTTTGGATAAAAAAAAAATTAAAAATTACTTTTATTGCGTGTTAAGATTGGGATGGATTTGAATTTGAATTTGAACTTGAATCAAATCCCTCATTTGGATATATAAGATTATATGGAATCAATTTCACATTATAATTTTTTTTTATTTCAACTTTTTTATGTACTCTAGTCATTTGAAATTTAAGTCACTTTAAACATTTTGCTGTTTTTGTATTTTTATCATTGATGTCTCTATGACTCACATTTCTTTTCTTGTATCTTGTGCTTGTCTCACATCAATTGAAAAAAAAAGGTAAACACATCTCTTTCAATTTTCAATTTTTTGTCTGAAAATACAAAATTAAAAGAATTAAAATATATGAATTTTAAATATGAAATTTTGAAATGTGTGATTTTAAATCAATAATTCAAATATAAACCTACTAATTCAAACTCTACCTCAAGGAATTGGATAGAAGTTAATGATTGAGAAGGAGAGAACAATTCCTTTTTTTTTTTTTTGCAAGGTAGAATATTACATCCTGCTAACAAAATGTTTGAACAAAAATCCCACGTTGATATAACATCGTTGATTTTTTGTTTTCCTGTTTAAAGGAGTAAATGGTTAAATCTATTGATGTTAGAAATGGAAAGCTACCACATGAGAATGGAAAGAGAAGAGAATTAAACAAGAATAGCAAAAAAAAAAAAAATTACTACATTTTAACTTAAAACATCAAATCTCAAGTTCATGGATCGTTTCTTTTTATTATATATTAATTATTAAGTACAATTTCATTTTATGTAGATTTTACTATATCATATTAAATCCATTCACACTTAAACAATTAAACAATCCCCTTTCTAAGGGTAAATTTTCAAACTCCCTACATCAAAGATGACCTAGATACTAAGTTGAGAATGGGGAGTTATCACTCAAGAATGGGGGGAGAGAATAAATGAAAAAATTTAATGGAATAATGTCACATCTTGACTTAAGATCTTAAGATTCAAATTTATGAATTATTTCTCTTTATTTTATATTAAGTTTTATGCTCGTTTTATTTAATATGAGACTTTTCACATCATTTTAAACTAACTTATGCTTGGACAACCTAACAAGAAAACAAAAGATTTCTTCTAAAAAAAAGAAGAAGAAGTAATGCATTTTTATTAAATGAGACATTTCTACCAAGAATAACTTTCTCCATAGAAGAATCAAAACACTATAATTGAAATCTTATGTATAAAGATGTCATTATTAACACATGAGTCATTAAAATCATTTTCACATGACTTTAACTCGTTATATATTCTCAACTTTTTAAACTTTTTTCTTTGGGTTCTTCCTTTTTACTTTATATTAATTATTAAATTTAAATTTATTTGACGTGGAAAGGGAAAGTGGAAAAACAAGCAAGAGTAGCGAAAGAATATCATATCTGAACTCAAAACATCGAGGCTCAAATTTATGAATCTTTTTTTCTTATTATATATTAGTTATGAAACCTATCTTTACCTAATATAGAATTTCTCACATCGTTTCAAGTTTACTCACACTTGAATAGCTTAACAATTAGTAATGAGGATTTCATGTTAGCAAGGGCATGAAAGGATGTTGAAAACAATCCAAATTAATTATGCCAAATCAAGCTAGATCTAACAAACACAAAGAAATAAAAAAATAATTATAAATGAGGTTTGGTTTATTTATTTTTTGGACAAAATTGGATTGGATTGGTTTGGTTTTGTTAAGGTTTTTACTTCTGAAAACATAAACTAGACCAGACAAATTTTTATTATATTTATTATGTATTTATATATATATATATATATATATTTATACATTTAGATAAGTTTTTTTTTCTCTCCCACAAGTTTAATCATTTGTAAATCATTGATAAAAATAAATCACAATTAGCTAAATGTTACCTATAAATGTTTATGGTACCTTTTTTAATTTCATAATCAAGTATTTTAAATATAATATTTTGATTTTAATAGTTAAATATGCTAATTAATTATTAAAATATTATTTTATGCTTAAGATATTTTTGCATCACAAATAGTAATTAATAGTTAAAAATTATTAGTGAAGGTGAAGATGAATATATATTGATCATCATGGAAAATATGTCATAAAAATTTTTAAATCTAAACTAGACCCAATCAAATTGTTAAAAAACCGAGCTAAGTCAGTTAGAGAAAAAACCAGGTAGGTCTCAAGTTATAGTGAGTTGATTGGTTTGGTTTGGTATTTTTTTCAAAACTGAACCAAACTAAATTTGTGAACACCCTCAAGCATGAGTTAGCGAGAAATTATTGTATGAATCTCATCCGCCATGTCATCTATGTCTTGTTGAATAAAATTACAACCATTCGATTAAATAAAATATTATATGTTATTATTTTTAATGACTTTATTTTTTAAACAGCATGACTCTTTCATTTTTTTTTTTCATTTTTCTTTCTATCATAATTAATTTATACTTATAACCATCTAACACATGAAATATTTCTAGTAGACAAAGTATGGATGATACGATGCACTGAGCCCATGTGATAATTTCTCATGAACTAGTCTAGATGAATAGTGACAATTCCTCCATTTTTTTTAGGATGTTGGATAATGAAATAAAAAAATTCTCCGGTAAAAGCCACGAATCATCCCACCTTTGCTACTGCCTGCCTCCACAGACCAACGAGAACGTGCACGAAGGGCGGGGGGTGAGGTTTAGGGGTCGGTGAGGCCCACAAAACTGGGTTTAGAAGTCAACAACGATAAGTAAAACCGAATGGGCTGTTCATACAGGGCACTAGCCCAACTCTCCAACGAGGCCCAGTAAAGATGTTTCTGACTCCTGCTTTCGGAGCATCCTTCGATCCTGTCAGTTAGTCTATTAAGACTCGAGAGATGTTAAGTAACATGTACGGCAACAAAATCTTATAATATTAATATTTAATTAAAACGTCCGTATATTGGCAAGCTAAGTTATTTTTAAGCCATTTCTTAGACTCTTCTCACTGTTCTTTTTAACTCGTGAATAGTGAAATGGCAAGAAGCGATCAATAACTCAAGTCAAACCTTAAAAAAAATAAATACAACTCGCTAATTTGAGGTTAATGGAAGGGATACTTTTTATGTATAAATGCAAATGGATCTGAATGTATGTAAACTCGAGTTTTATTGTGAATTTCTTCCTCTCAAACAGTCGCACTCCGAGAAAAATAGATTTGTCGGGTTACATTAGCAACCTCCCAGGGATGAAAAACATTAGCAACAAATTTTTCGCCACATTGACGAGTGCATATAATTTGAATTAAATTTGACAGGGCAATTAAAATTCCACTGAAAAGATTTGAACCAAGTTTGATCAAGTTTGCACTTTGCTTGAATAAAAAATTATGTTTTTTAAAAATATAAAATATAATAAACATTAATTAATTTTTTAAGTTTTACGCTATTTTATATTAAAATATCATATGTTTGAATGCATTACTATAATTATTCTTTAAAAAAATGAAAACTTAAAATATTTATATTTTCATACTTTTCTTATTTTTAATCAATAAAATATCACAAAATAATAGTTAAAATATATTTTAATAATTATTTTTATATTTTAACACTCACATATTTGTTTTTAAAAAGATTTGAGTTCTATATATCGTGTTTAGGTATGCAAAAATATATTATATATTTTTTATAAAATAAAATAATTTATTTTACATTAAAAATTATATCAAAATAATTTAAAATAAAATTTGGGTATGTATGAATTTTCAGCCTACTACTAAATAAGCATGATAAATAAAATAATATTCTTGAATAATTATTTGATTAACGTCCATGCTAGTCTTAGTTAAAAATTAAAAATAAACTAGAATAAAATTCCTTGTATGTATGTATAAGTTACTACTTCTATTAAAAAATATAAGATATTTTTT